GTCGAGACTCAAGGTCTAGTCAAGGATTCTCCGCATTGTGGATGAAAGTGAAACAAGTTAGAGATCATCAATAGTTAATCTGGCTAGTGGCTAGGGGGAATCATACATGAGTGAGTTCCCAACCTGTAATTAGATTAACTTTAACTGTAGTTTGCTAGAGTATTTTTAGTTCTTTCATCTTAATCTAGTTTGCTAGATAATGAACTGAAGCTGAGTAATAGTAACTCTAGAGACCCGTGGATTCGATATTTATTACTTGAGCCACTATACTGCAGTCCCTTTCATTGGTTACACTTGGCCATTGTTAGGAGTTGTGTCATAGCGAGCCAAGTTTTTGGCGCCGTTGTCGGGGACTTTCTAGATTATTAGGAAAGGCATGAGTTTGTTATTTTAGCGTTTTTCTTTTCTTTTCTTTTCCATCCTTGCTTTTCACTTGGGTGTTTTTGTTTTTGTTGGTGCAGATCTGAATCATGGATCCTCATGGCTTCTCCAATCATTGGGGATATCCACCACCATCCAAGTGGTATTACCCCGAGACTCCCTGGAGCAATCAAGGAGGAGAAGACTATGGATTCGGGTTCCAGTACCAACCCCATTACTATAGAGAACAATCAGACCCCTGGGCATATCAAGAATAACCTCATTACCAAGTAGACTTTCCCCCACAACCAGAAGGGCCATCGGAGCTGGAGTTACCCATGGCGGCCTTCACGGGCCATTCTGCAGAGCCATGCTACACTCCACATCCATATCCAAACTATGAATTGAGACTTCTCATGGAGCAGTTTGCTCGAGACAGTGAGAGATCATTGTCTAGGATGGATCTTTGTACCCAGGCCTATCGTGAAACAGAGGAGATCCTCCTGAGCCTTAAGAAGAGCGTCGATGATCTTGAGCGATCTTGTGCACAACCTGCTCCAGATCACCCTTCTGCTACCATACTAGAAGAGGAGGAGGAAGAAGAAGGCTACAAGGACATGGTGGAGCACACAGATGTTGTCACGGAGAGCTCCCGTGATGATCATGATCAGGAATGTCCTGTCGTAGTCGACCACACCTTCCCACATCCCAATCCGAGCTTTGAAGAGGAGGGCATGAGTGAGGAGATGCAAGAAGATCTCATGAAAGAAATATCTTGGCAACTTGCTCTCCAATCCGTGCTAGAAGAAGAAGAGCAAGAAAGGGTGCAGAAAGAAGTTGTGGAGGATGACGAAAGTGAAGCAGGAGGAGTTCTTGATCATTTCCTAGGGGTGATACCACATGAACAAGGAAGGGAGGTCGAAGAAGAAATTGGCGTCCATGCCGAGGACGAAGTTGAGGTGGAAGAGGCCTGCACCGGCCATGAGTTTCAAGTAATATCCCCACCAAACTTTGAGGAACTGCTTAGCAAGGACCCATTTGCAGTGTCTCTTTGCCAGACCAAGGCCACATCGACATCGGTCCCTCTTGGTGGACGCGATGGTGGTCAATCGATGTTGTCATATATGGTTTGGGGCAATGAGACGAGAGAAGAGAAGAAGAGGTCTCGAGGGTGGAGACTTCATCTGCATCAAGTGCACGAGCTTCCATCTACTGTCATACCACATGCTCGTGACTTAAGATTCAACCTCATCGACGAGAACCTCAACTTCAAAGAGGTTTTGGGGTGGACCGAAACTTAGGAGCCATCGTCCGGCTCACGACGTGAAAGAAGCGCTTGTTGGGAGGCAACCCAACCAGTCGGTTTGCATTTCTTTCTCTTTTTCTCCTCGGTTGAGTCAGTTTTGTTATTTGATTTTAGAGTCAATAACTCAACCTTCGTGAGATTTTGTGTGGTGTTTGTGTTCCGACTACTCTCTCCTCCTGGAATGCACCGCCTGCCCCGTCCACCATCATTCACCCTTGATCTGGTAACTTCGTTCTACCCTCCTTATCTTTCCTCCATTGAGGACAATGTCGTGCTTAAGTGTGGGGGGATGTTCGATTATGAATGCGTGTGAATGTTTGGCTGTTTGTGTGCTTGGAGCCTAGTCCACTATCCAAATTTTGATTTGAGGGCTCCAAGTACGTGTTCCTTGCAATTGCCTGCTCAGTATGCTTTGAATTGACAGTCTTTATAGTAATATGCAACCTAGGGAGGTAGTGTAGCACTATGGAGGATGTTGATGCATTTAAGAAGTCTCCTTTCTTCTTCATATTGTGTTGGTTGATTGTGTGAATTAGTGATCTTAGGATCCTTGAATTGTGTGGTGTTGTGGACTCTATACATGTCATGGACTCCTGTATCATGTTTTGAAATAAAAGGTGCTCGATAATGTGCTTTAAAATAACGTCTCCCGTGGGATTAGGGCGAAAGTGTGTAAGGGGAGACGGGAATTCGTTCCCAATTTCCACCTACTACCTCCCGCCCTCTTACATTACTTTTCCCCGCACGAGGCTCGAGACATTTGCTCCCGGCATGGCCGGTAAGAGCCGGGTTCCCGCAAAACCTCTGCTGGTGGGAGCCCCCATTTTATGAAAAGAAGGTTGGGACCCTTGAAAAAGAAAGAAAAAAAAGAGAACAAAAGAAAAGGAGAAAAGGGGTTCCAACCGTCTTCAAAAAGAAAATAAGAGCACCTTGAAAAATGTGAGTCCATGATCTTTTGTTTTTGAGAGTCTCTTCGTCCATGATTCATTTGTCCTCTGATCACTATTTGCCATGATGCCGACTCGAGACTAGCATTCTCGCCGAAGAAGCTATGAGATGACTTGTGCGTCGGTTGACCTCGTAAGCTGCTAAATTATCTAGAAAATCCTCTATCAAGGATCGAGGGTGCATGTTGCTATAGAGGTCTGGAGAGCTGCATTGGTTTGAGTTAGGTTTGCTTGGGGACAAGCAAACGGTTAAGTGTGGGGGGATTTGATGAATCGATATTTGCACATGTTTTCCCCTTTGTTTCTTGATCTTTTAAGCTTGCATTATTGCTTCTTTGGCCTATTTTACGCTAGGTTGTGTTCCTTTGTCACATTTCAGGTCCTAGCACATAAAGTGAAGCATAGGCGCAAGTTTCAAGTCAATTGGAGATCAATTGGCGACTCGGGGGAAGAAACTCGGGTATGACTTGAAGAAGAAGGGATTTCTACCTCAGTTTGTGACCATATAATCATGTAATCTTGTCATGAGAAGAAAGAGGACGAGACTACGAGCGTCTAGAATCAAACGACACATGATTTGGAGTCCGAACGAGGGAGAAACGAAGAATCAAAGATAGGGGAAAATTGGTTTCGGGCTTCTCTGAGAAACAGAAGGTGGCCCTATCGTGAACCAAAAATCCCCGGTCTTGAACCAAAATCCCCGGTCGTGACCCAAAAATCCCCGGTCGTGAACCAAAAAATCCCCGGTCGTGACCTAAAATACCCGACCGGGTATTGTCACCGGGGATCGTGAACGCAGGCTGTTAAAAGCCTGTTTTGTGCGTTTTTGCAAGGGAGAGCTGGGTTTTGGATCCCAAACACCCTAGGGACGAACCAAAGAGAGAGAGAGAGAGAGAGAGAGAGAGGGCTATTTGAGGGCATTCTAAGAGGGGAATTGGAGGATTTCTTCGCCTTGGAAGCTCGAGGAATAAGCCCGGACTTGAAGACTGATCATCCGAAGATTCTTACTGCAGTCTCTCTCTTCTCTATGGAGTAACTTCCCTTCACTTAGGTTTTGAGGAACCCTAGCTATGATTGTTTGATTGGATGATTGTATGTGTACTCTTACTTGATAATCTTGACTTCATATTCAATCTATGCATGTTTTCACGATTCAATTCTGATTTAGTCGAGATTATTGATTCTGCTTTGATCCTATGAGAGCGAATACCTGATTAGGTCAATAGAGCACCATAGATTGATAGTAGTGGATCGATTGCTTTAGTCAAGGGTTGATTCACTGCTTTGTATCGATTGAGAACCTCTTTCGATAGAGGGAGTCTAGTTCAGAACGCCTTGATCGGTTGTGCTAGAGAAGGATACGTCCCTCTAGACAATTGACTCAAGAGGGCCTTGTTCCTTTAGTCGAGACTCAAGGTCTAGTCAAGGATTCTCCGCATTGTGGATGAAAGTGAAACAAGTTAGAGATCATCAATAGTTAATCTGGCTAGTGGCTAGGGGGAATCATACCTGAGTGAGTTCCCAATCTGTAATTAGATTAATTTTAACTGTAGTTTGCTAGAGTATTTTTAGTTCTTTCATCTTAATCTAGTTTTCTAGATAATGAACTGAAGCCGAGTAATAGTAACTCTAGAGACCCGTGGATTCGATATTTATTACTTGAGCCACTATACTGCAGTCCCTTTCATTGGTTACACTTGGCCATTGTTAGGAGTTGTGTCATAGCGAGCCACCTATCAAGCAAAATGAAACAACAGCGACAAAGAAGTAAAAGACATCAAAAGTATTTAACCCGGATCCCGATCCCAGACCCGTTACACCGTTAATCAAGCAGAAGCTCTTCCTCTGTTGGTTAACCCAGATTGTAAGTAGCCCTCTACCACCCTTACAAAAAGTGCTGAGCCTTGAAGAGGAGCTCGAATATATATAGCCATCCGTCCATAATTGACCGTTTCACTTGAATTCGAATGCAGGATACAAAATGGAAGCTCTGAGCTGTCTCTGACTGTCGACTTACCTTCTTAGCAGCAATTCTGATTTGGTAACTTGGTTCTACAATCTCCCCTTAAATCAGAGTTTGCCAATTGTCTGCAAAAAAATATACCATCTCTCGACCAAGCATATAAACAATATCCATCAATCAATAAGGCCAGAGCTACTAAAGACTTAAACAACATTCATCATCCACCATTCTCAAAGAAAGCTAGAAAACAGTCACAAAAGAATACAAACCGAAGACAAAACAATCATCCAGCAAGAAAACAAGACCAACCCAAGTCTAAAAGATATGACAAGAAAACCACACCTCAAACTGAACCAGAAGAGAAACTCTCAATTACAAAAAAAAAAAAAAATTGCTCGCCAAGAGATCTAATCAAGAACTAATCTTAGTCATCATCTGATCCATCTGTGCCATATTCCAGCAGGGCCTGGAGAGCTTCAGCAAAAGGTTCCAGTTCTGCATCATCACTGCTGCTACTGCTGCTGTCTTCATCCCCGCTACTCACCCAGACAACTGCATCCTCCCCTTCAACAGCATCCTCCCCTTCAATGGCAATCTCCACAGCATCCAGAACATCGTCAGCTGGAGGGTACAGGGAGGGCGTGATAGTGTGAAACGGAGAGAGATGGATGCAAAGCTCGAGAAGAAGGGAGGTGACTAGGGGGCCAAAAGCAAGAGGGCCACCGAGGGACGCATCACTAAACCGTAGAAGACCTCCAAACACAAGATGCACATAGTCAAGGGGAATCCCATGAACAACATGAGAGATGATCCAAAGATCCAACGCAAGAACAAGGTCCAGAGATTCACCACGAGGAACAAAGACTCGGGTGATGCAATAGTGAAGCAACTGAAGAGAGGGCAGCAGAGAGAAGACATGCATAAGATTATCAGGAGCTGGCAGAACTCCAGTGAGTTGATGAAACTCCTCAGCATATTGGAATGCAAACAGTTCAAGCTCAGAGGCATCAGCGAGAGCCTCTCCAACTCGAGGAATATGAAGAGTTTCTGATAGGTCATCGAGATGGAGCGTGAACAGATGTCCAAAGACTATAGTAGAGAAGGTGCGAGAAGCAAGCCCGGGGGAGCGAAAGTTCGAAAAGAAGTAACGAACTAAGTCTGGACAGACCAAGGATGAAAAAGGATGGTGAAGAAGGTACTCCCATCCCAAGTTTTGAATGTACCTGTGCACATCAAGTCCCAATTCCATGAGAGCAGGAAAGGGAAATGATATGAGGCCAGAAAAGGACAAGAGGCAAAACTTTGGAGATGACGATGATAGTTGGAGGGAATTGGCTCAAAGAAAAGGGTACCAGTAAATGTGACTGCGAAGACCATATTGCTGGGACAAGACTAGGGGCGCTAGACAGAAGGGTGGAGGAGAGAAGAGGACCGAGAGCAAGGTTAAATACTCGAGAACAAGATAAAACAAGGAAGGAACTTAAATGTAGAGAATAAAGGAAGGCAGAAAAAACAGAAAGAATCACAGACGCAAATCAAAGCACCCAAAAAAAAAAACAAGAAGAAATAAAATGCAATAAAGGAAAACAGAAGCAAAAATTACCTCCCAATCATCTCAGTGAGTGATGAAAGGGACCGCAACCCGATTTCATGACATAAAAAAGGTAAAGCGATCAGTAGCTAAAGGTTTGGTGAAAAGATCTGCTAATTGGAACTCAGTGGGATTATTTTGTAAGGAAACTAAATTATCCTGAACAAGATCTCGAATGAAATGGTACTTAACCTCTATATGCTTAGTACGAGAGTGCTGAACATGATTCTTTGTCATACTAATGGCACTGGTATTATCACAAAATAATGGAATAGTAGTGCTAACTAGACCATAGTCGGATAACTGATTTTTAAGCCATAATAATTGAGTACAGGAGCTGCCAGCAGCAATGTACTCTGCTTCTGCTGTTGAAAGAGCAACATCACCTTGTTTATTGCATGACCAAGATACAAGGGAGAGACCTACAAACTGACAGCTGCCTGTAGTACTTCTTCGATCAGTGAGGCTACCAGCAAAGTCAGAGTCACTATATCCCATGAGGTCAAACAAATCCTGCTGGCTATACCAGAGACCTACGTCAGCTGTTCCTTTTATATAACGAAATATACGTTTAACCGCACTGAGGTGACTTTCCTTGGTTGGGACTGAAAACGAGCACACAAGCACACACTATATTGAATATCTGGTCTGCTAGCAGTTAAGTAAAGAAGAGAGCCGATCATGCCTCGATACAGGGATTCATCCACTGGAATCCCAGCTTCATCCTTATCCAATTTTAGATTAGTCGCCATAGGAGTGGGACTTGTATTTAAGGCAGTCATATCGAATTTACTTAACATACTAGAGATATATTTAGATTGATTGATAAAAATACCACAAGGTGTTTGCTTGACTTGAAGACCTAAAAAGAATTTCAATTCTCCCATCCTGCTCATCTCAAACACATTTTCAAGGACTCATTGAACTCAGAGCACAGTTTCTCATTTGTAGAGCCAAAAACAATGTCGTTGACATAAATTTGAACAAGCAAGAGGTCACCTGAAACCTTAATAATAAACAGAGTTTTATCAACAGCCCCTTGCACGAAATGTTCTTGTTTAAGAAACGTGGTTAAACATTCATACCAGGCACGAGGGGCCTGTTTAAGCCCATACAGGGCTTTATTTAGCTTAAAAACATGATCAGGAAACTGATGATCAGTAAAACCAGGAGGTTGTTCAACATAAACATCCTCCTGGATAACTCCATTTAAAAAGGCACTTTTAACGTCCATTTGAAATAGTTTAAAATTCATATAACTGGCAAAAGCACATAGCAATCGAATTGATTCAAGACGAGCCACAGGGGCAAAAGTTTCGTCGTAATCAATGCCTTCCTCTTGCAAGTAACCTTGAGCCACTAATCTGGCCTTGTTACGAATGATAATACCCTCTTCATTAGACTTGTTTCGAAAAACCCATTTTGTTCCTAACACATTAGTATTAACAGGGCGAGGAACCAAGTCCCAAACATGCAGGTAATCAAACTGATTCAGTTCTTCAACCATAGCAATGGACCAACCATCATCTTTTAGAGCTTCTCTATAGTTTTTAGGTTCTACTTGAGAAATGTAGGCATACTGACCTGGAGTATATCTGTTTCCACGAGTTTGAATCCCAACATTGACATCTCCTATAACTTGTTCCATTTGATGGCGTTTCTAAATATGCGGTGGGGCTGCAGGCTGAGATTCATTGGTTGTGTTGATTCTCTCTAGTTGATCATCAACCACTGTCTGAGGATTCTGATCTTGAGATGCTTGCAAATTATTTTGTTCTTCAAGTGAGCCATCAGCAGCAGTCTCTTTATCTAATGTTTCTCTTGTTAATTCCAGTAAGTCAAATGACAGTGAATCATGTTCAGAAATCTTGACAACACCATTAGACTCATTAAATTTAACATGAACTGACTCTTCCACTTTTTTTGTTCGCTTATTATAGACACGATAAGCCTATCCTTTTATGGAATAACCCAGGAAAACAGCTTCATCAGACTTGGCATCAAATTTACCTAGATGCTCCTTAGTGTTAACAACAAAACAAGGGCATCCGAAGGGATGAAAATAACTAATGTTAGGTGCTTTGTTTCTGAAAATCTCATAGGTTGTTTTCATTAAACCTTTTCCAACAAGCACACGATTTAGAATGTAACAGGCTGTGCTGACAGCTTCAGCCCAGAAGAATTTTGGCAGATTATATTCAAGAAGCATGGTGCGAGCACATTCAATAATAGTACGGTTTTTCTTCTCGACAACTCCATTTTGCTGGGGAGTGCGAGGAGCTGAAAAACTATGAGCTATCCCAGAGTCATTAGAAAGACTCTCAAACTCTTCAGACACAAACTCACCACCATTATCACTTTTATGCTCCTAATTTGACCTAAAAACTGTTTGACAAATACTTGAAACTTCTTTACTGCCTCATCTTTGTGAGTCAGAAAGAAAACCCAAGTATACCAAGAATAATCATCAACCAGAACTAATACATAGTTTTTACCTCCCAAGCTGGTCACATTACATGGTCCAAACAAATCCATGTGAACTAATTCAAATACTTGTTGGGAAGTTATATCAGACTTAGGTTTGAAGAATTTCTTAGTATGTTTTCCAGCAATACAAGCCTCACAGAAGAAGTCAGTTTTTTGCTTTAACATGGGAACACCTCTGACACACTCTGATTTAGATAAACTCACAAGTTTAGGTAAGCTAATGTGTCCCATCTTACCATGCCACAGCAACTCTTGTTGATAAGAGGCAACAAAAAACATTTCATGAAAGGCTTCAAGGTTATGCAAGTCTATAACATACATATTATTAACACGATTTCCTACAAGTAGGATCTTGCTGTCATTTATCCTTTCAACTAAGCATGCATCAGATTTAAACACTACTCGATTTCCATTGCTGCAAAGCTGACTTATTGATAAAAGATTATGCTTTAGACCTTTTACGAGAAGCACATCACGAAAGGCAGGATAAGGGGATCCTCCTATAGTACCAATTCCCACAATATTACCACATCCATTATCACCAAAAAGAACCTTACCACCATCTTTAGGAGTTAGAGAGGAAAATAATTCTTCCTTACCAGACATGTGGTGCGAGCACCCGCTGTCTAAATACCATTTATGGTCACTTTCATCTGAAGAGTAGTCTTTTGGTTGATTTGTGCTTGCCATAAAGGCTTCCTCATCTGCTGAATTTTCTTCTACCTTGGAGTCATAGTCACTCCAGGAGGCCTTCATTGCTCTTTCCTTGGCCTTCAGGGTCAATCGACAATTTGCCCGGATGTGTCCATTCTTGCCACACTTGTAACACGCTTGAGGATCTTTCTCCTGTATACCTGTCTCAAATTTCCTGGTCTGCTGATAAGGCAGCCTAGCTTGAGAATAGTTATTAGTGTAATCCTGCCCTTGCTTTCGTGATTCATCAGTTCTTAATTTTCTTTCATTTTTATATTTCAGCATGCGATGAAATCTCTTGCTAACAAGCACACATTCTCTGTTAAAGTCGGACTCTGAATCACTATCAGATTACTGAGTAACAACTTTGGATTTAAAAGCCAAATTTTTCTTACTTTTATCATCATCCTGATTCACCTGTTTAATCACATTTTCATGACTCAGTAAGTACCCATTAACTTGTTTATAGGCAGGGTTGCTAGATTTTTTGCTTCCTCGACAGCAGTACGCTTGGGCAGCCATTCCTTAGGCAACGACCTAAGAATCTTCCTATTAAGGTCTTTAGTTTGAAAAGTTCTTCCTAACCCTTTCAACTTATTGATCAAGACAGTAAATCGTGAGTACATTTCATGAATACTTTCATTATTTAGCATACCGAAAGCCTCATATTCATGAACCAATAGATCAATTCGAGATTCCCTAATATTCGACGTACCTTCATATGTGCTCTCCAGTGCTATCCAGATTTCTCTAGCTGTCTCACAGTTTTCAACTTGGTCAGCTTCATCTGGATTCATGGCTGATTGAAGCACATGCATCGCCCGTTGGTTCAGCTGCGCACTTTTCTTCTGAGCAGTAGACCATAGATGTTGCTCTTCCACTTTAGCATCGATTGGCCCATCCTGTACAATTAATCAACCAAAAATCTTCATTAATACCCCACATAAACTGTTTCATCCTCTTCTTCCACGCGGTATAATTTGAACCGATGAAGATTGGAGGATGATTTAATGCGGCTTGGCCGAAAGAAGAAGAGGCCATTTGATCTTTGCCTTGGCAGGAGCTACCTTCCTCAAGGACCAGCTCTGATACCAATTGTAATCGCAAAAATGGGGAGAGAAACTAGGGTTCGGCAGAGGGAAGAAGAAGAGGCGAAATGGAAATGAAGGTTTCTGAAGGTGAAGAGAGATTCACAATCTGTCACTAAGACATACAGATCGAATTAAAGACTGGGCCTGGATGTTATATCGGCGGCCCACTAAATAACTTAATTCGGACCCACTAAATTATTTAGCCCAAGTTTTAAGCCCGCCCACTTCACTCTAGAACTCTTCTTCTTCCTTGAGACGAAGCAGAGTTTCTGAAGCAGGGGAAAGTGCAAACCAGAGAATGAAACAGAGACGAAGAAAGACGCGAGCAACAGGGAATTGAAAGAACAAAGCCAAGTTTAACGAGGTTCCCAATCTGCTGGTCACTCC